TTTTTAAACACACCCAAAAGAATGTGGTTGCTTTTCTCAAGGACACAATTCTCTCCTCCTTTCTCCACTCTCTGATGCTGTAGAAATATTATTTGGCATGAAGCTATTTGTAGCCTATCAAGATTTCATGAACTTTTAACCTATATGCTGATTATATGTATTGAGAGAAGCTGGATTGCAAGACAAATGTGGTTTTAGGTTGATGGAAGTCATTTTCAATAATCTGTGCTGTGCTTAGAGCACTCTAACAGCTGCACATGCAAATAATCTTTGAACTCTGGTAATGAGAGTCAAATAGTACAGCGGAAAATGGAATTAAACATAATGAAGAGCAAATTAATAACATGTATAGCAATCAGCCTTAGCAATGACAATAAAGATACCGAAGTGTTAGATAGCTTTTTTAGAATAACTTGGGTCCCAGTTTGAGCCAGAGTTGCACCGGAATGAAATCCAGACATGCTGCATGGAAAGGAAATGATTTATTCATCCCCCAAACACAGAGGTTTGCAAAGCCATTCTGTTAGGGATAAACAAGTAGGGTTTTATAATGACAAGAGCCTTTGATGCTGATAGGTAGATTGAGGTATTTCTGCCCTGGGCTTTGATTGTGTGCTATGTGTTAGATGTGTATATCTGGATATTGTCCTGAGGATGTGAAGTCCAGGAGGGAAGATCACCCTCAGATGTATAGATGCCTTTCTAAGTGTGGATTTATTGTGAGGGGTCTGGCATTGTGATTTTATCCTGAGGGCATTCTGTTTCCTGATGGGTTGTAAATTGCTGGTGGATCAGAGGTGGTTTTGCAAATCACCTAGCAAATCACCCGGCTAGAGGGTGATTGAGACAGTATGAAGAGTAAAGTTAAGAGGAAAAATCTGATTTCTTATAATTTTCCCATGGCTTCTACTTTTTAGTACTGACAAAAGTGAAAGAACTAGCAGTCAAGAAATATACTAGGCTTCCACCCAGCAGGATAGCAAATTAAGTCTTTAAAAACGGTATTTGGATGCTACATGTGCCCTTATCTACAAATTCAGAAATAATTTCCCCTACAACATGCTATGAAAGAAAAAGATTTTGAAGAAGTAGGACAGAAAGAATGTTGATGAACTTTGGGGTTGGAGAAGGCACCCAAGAATGTCATAGAAAGCCAAGAAAACAAAACAAATGGATCAAAATTCAAATCAATCTAGAATTTTCACTTGAGGCAGAAATGACTAATCTCAAAATATATCCTGGACCTATTACGTGAAGAACCAATTCTCTTTTGAGAAATTTATAACGCAGTAAAAAAGTAGAAAGAATGACCAGCAATAAAGTGGATGTTCTTGATTACAACAGGGGTGCCACTGGAAGATCTGAAAACTACACTGGGGAGAGACCATCTTGGAGAAGGTCTGTGTTATTAGCTTGTTATATCAGCTATAATTCACTATCCTAAGTCTGTCTACTTTACTTCCAAAAATGAAACTTTCATGATTAGTGTTGTTTGGGAAAGGAAAGGCCGAATTTTTAAAATTTCACTCCCTTATCTGTTGGTGGATTAGCAAAGTTCTACCATATAATCCCTGCATTCTGTCCCATATGGACCTGATCTATGGAGAATTGCAGGAAAACCCCAAAGACGTAAAAAAAAAAATCCAGTCACAACACTGGACTGTGTATAAATATGTTATTTACCTTTCATTTTGCAAGAAATTAGAAAATAATTTTGAGAAACACCACACCATGCATTTTCCATTACGGTAGTAAGTGGTTGCAGTTCTCATCAGACTTATGAAAGTTTCCATTTCCAAAATACATTTTTCCAGTTAAAATGCCTTGGGCAAAGTAATTTTATGTTGTCTGGATCAGTTCTTCCCCTGCTATCCAGTCCATGGTGTGCCATATTATACTTCCAGAGTAATATATTACAGCTTTCCCCTTATTTGGCAGGTTCCAGAGCTGTTAAGAGTAGACAGCTGAACTATTCCCCTAGTGGTTGGGAATTGTGGAACAACCTGCCTCCAGACGTTGTGAATGCTCTAACACTAGTCCAGGGGGTTGGACTAGAAGACCTCCAAGGTCCATTCCAACTCTATTATTGTTGTTGTTGTTATTATTTTGTACATCAATACATCTGGTTGGGGGAAACTGCATAAATAACTCATGCTACTGTTTCTTAGATTACTGATGTCTTGTTTCTATACCTACCTCCCCTCAGAGATATCAGCTTCTCAATTAGTCCTTCATAAAACTAATATTAGCACTTTTCCTGGCAAACTTTAGATACTGATGCACTCCTAAATAGTAGCTGAGTTAGGTAATTACCACATAGGTCACCCAGAGAAACAGAATCTTGGCTTCAAGATATTCTTGAATCACTGTTCCTAGAATTGCTCAACATTGACCGGAGCGATCAGAACTGCTAGGTACCGTAATTCATCAACTCTAGAAAGCTACAAGTTCCATATCCACGCTACGATAGAATATTCAATATTCAGACATTCAAGATAATCATTAAAGTATAGAGCAAACCTGATTCACCACAGTGTGCATTGGAAAGTTCACTGTTCTCTAGGAAACTGTTGGAAGGAATCTTGCATTATTTTGCAGAGGAGCAATCAAAACAATTAGAACAAATTTTTCTTTCCTGTTAGACCAGACTAAGCACAATACGTTCTCCACTGATGGATGTATGAATGAATGAATATCTGTTTGGCATTATCTGGAGAGTTGCTATTTCCCAGTGTAACTGAGACTAGCATGACTCTTCCTGTTTCACTGCCAGAATCAAAAGGAACATTTTTTTGAAAAGCTTGGGCTTAATTACAGGAAGAAAAGCATATCAGTTATATGCTTTTGAACACAAACCCAGCAGCATTCAGCTGGAGAGCCCATTGCTATCCTGTATAGTGATGAAGGACGAGAGTGTTGTTCTCCTTGCTTGGCTAATTTATAACTTCTCTAATTTTTGCCAATTTTTTTGTTTTCAATGCTATCTATACAGACATTTACGATTTTAGCATGTTTAAATACAATAACCATTATCAAAGCTTCAATTTCTTAATAAAAGGACCTTACCCCAACTTGACTTTATATGGAATTCAACTTGTATTAGTTTCAACCAGTTTCGAGACAGACAAACCAATAGTAGAAAATACAGCTCAGCCTCTAAGATTTTGGATTCCTGATCACTGCTTTGAAACTTCCAACAATTTTGCTAAAACAAAGCACATGAAATTAAGCCCCCACACCTGTATTTAGAATTATTTCACCTTGACTTTCCCAAGAAAGTTTTTTTAAAAAAACACCTTAAATGGGCTGCTTTTCAATTCTGAATATTGGGAGTGGAAAGATATTGTATCCATGGGGCTCCTGTAAGCATGTGAAATACATAGTTTATTATGGTTGGTAAACTACTCTTTGGGATGAGTGAGCAAATAAGCAAAAAATAAGCTACATTTTTATTATGTGACATATCAACTCACAAGGCTTAGAGTTTGTCCTAAGCGAATTGATGACAGAACCTTCTATTCACTTCCTGCTATGTCTATTAATATAATGGGAATCAACTCAAAATATACAATATTTGTAGCCACATAAGTTACTTTTTATCAAGTTATATGGAGGATTTCCCAATAAAAAGATACATGGAATTCTTAAGAATTAACTTTTCAAGCTCAGTACTATATTTGGTTCAACTGGGAGTTTTCCTATAATTTAAATAAACTTGTTTATTCAAGTCTTTGTAGGCTGCTATATTGGGTATGTTATAAATTGTACTAAAATAACTTGTCTGGCAAAATATGAGATTATTAATCTCGATCCATCATTTTAGGTATTTGTTATTACCTGTTCCCCCCCCCCTTAATATTTTATATTTTGATACTTTTTCTGTATTATTCCGCCTTATCTTGACAGCTCTTATAAAGGGTTCTATTCAACATCATGCACTAAATCCCTTTGCGAAGACATGAGCATAACAGTCTCTCCTGCTGTTGCAGGTAATTTATATGGCAAATAAACTTGAAAAGAGAATGTAGCCAGCAACCACTGAAAAAGGAGTTTCCAAGTGCTATTTAACTTAACAGAGATATTCAGACTGAGGAGCCAAACTACATTCCCATGGTACTTAGATACAATTTTCATTGTTGCACTAAGATACAGCCCGATTCACTCGTGGCAAAAATACCAAGTTTAACCTTCACAAACCACAGAAAATTGCATACAACTGTGTGTGTGGGGAAAACCCTATAATCCAGCCACAAACCCTTCAACCTGAAAATAAGAAATTTGTCATCAGTGAACAATGTAAATTAGCAGCCAAGCAGTATGTAAACCACTGAATTATGAGATAATTAAAGCCAGGCCAAAGTTGTACATTTGCATTTTCATCTCTACCTTTGAGTATTCTGGAAGTTATTTACTACGTTGTTATTAATATCAAGTTTGCTATTTACAGGTTTACTGAGAAAAAGAAACTAAAAGGCAGTATTTTATTTGCTGTTATTTATACAAGAATGAGAAAGAAGAAACTCATCATTCTATTGATAAGATACAGAACGTGTAAAGAATTTACTCTGTTTCTCATCAAAATGCAAATGCTAGCTGGATTATTTTCTTCCTGCATGTTTACTTAAATTTGTAAAGGCGGTTTTGGCTTTTTGACTGACTACACTTTGAATGATTTCTGTTGAATTCTACCATTCTTTTTTTTAAATCAAATTCCCTACAGTAGTGTTTCTTAATCCTGACAACTTTTAAGATTTGTGGATTATAACTCCTAGAGTAAAACTCACACATCTTAAAATTGCCAAGGCTGAGAAATACCGCCTTAAAACTCAATACTCAACTGTGTCCCACAACCAAAATAAGTTACCATACATACAGGGAAGTTTACAATTGGAATCTCTGTAGGGATCCATGTGATTGGTTGCTCTTTCTAACTGTCACACACTGATGAATGTGACAAGAAAATGTCATATATTGTTAGAGAAACTATCAGGACAATACGCTTCATGTTTCACAACTTTAATAGAATATTCTAACTATTCTGTACAAATTGAAAACACTGTATTAAGTTACAAATGTATAAGATAAGGCTGGAGCACTCTCTACATGCCTGGTAAGAGCATTCATACAATTGATAATGAAGTGTTGCCATAAGCTGGCATTGTATGCTTAAGAAAAGTGAACCGTATTCTGAATATTCTTCGGAAGGATTCTGGAGCTTTAAAAAAAACATGGAAATGCAGAACGGAGTGACTTGATATTGCAGATAAACATCAGAACTATGCACCCAGGATGTATTTATATTTTTCCAATTATATAATTGTCACAGGCCCAAAACTGGATCATCTTCTAATTTATCCAGAACATTATTTTCCATGTTGGTGTGTAGTTTCACTTTATTTTTTGTTTAGTGGAAGCCATACTTTGCTATGTTCTCTGAATTCCAATGCTGTAATTTGCACTTGATGGCTAAACCGTCAGGAAGACCATCTGCACTTGATTTAAAGGTTGAATATAAATTACAGCATGCTGGTTCATCAAACTCTGGTCTGTTCTTAAGGTTGAAGGAAGATTAAAAGGGAAGTTGCACCCAACAGCGGAGAACAAGCTCGTAAAGTTGCAGCTTATGTCCAGGCTTCAAGCCTTTGGATTTAAGAATGTCTGAACAGTGCCAAGCAAACCAGGGATATATATTTAAGTGCTGCAACCTTCTCAACCTAGGGAGCCCACATCAGGGTTGTTGTTTTGAAATGTCTGAGAAGCAATCATTTTCTTGAGTAAAGTATGAGTTTTCCACATACAAGTACCCATAGTTTATAAACAGGATTTTCTTCAAGTATTTTAAAACTATTAAAAGTACTAGTTCACCCAAGTACTTACAAAAATGAATAAATAAGGTGAACAACTAAATGTCTCTCAACCACTCCTTTCTTCAAAGATAAGGGAAATGTTATTTTCAGTTTAAAATTACTGGAAATGACAATGTTTTTAAGGTACTCTGTAGCACTAGTCTGTCTGAATGGTTATAGGAGATTTATTTTAAAGGGAAAAGATCTACCAGAAGGCATATTGCTTTATTTGTTTTTACTGTATTTTATTAATTTAATATAGTCTAAATATTCCTATTCCATAGTATTTTGATAAAAACTTACCTTGCATTGAGGGTAAGTTTTTCAAAAAGGCAAATTAATTTTTAATTTAATGGAAAAGCCTACAGAGACAGTTGAGCTAAATTGTACCAAAGACTGTAGAGTGTGCTTTAATTAAACCTCATATTTCTCAAATGCATTAAGTTGCCACTGTACAAGTTAAGCAAAAATAAGAAAAGAGTTAGTGAAAATCATGCATTTGAAAACAATTTAGTTTAAGCATTGTTAATAAGTTTGTGCTGCAGTAATGGAATTTCCTGAACTGCAGGCCAGGTATCCAAATATTGTTACAGGCTGTTCAAATATCACTCTGAAGTGGTATTTCCTTATTGTTGTTTGCATTCAGCAGGTTGACTGGCATCTTTCTGTTAAAAAAGAAAAGAAAAAAGAGATTTAAGCAAAAGATACTTCTATATAATACTGAATTTAATTCAACATTAAATTTAATTTTGTATTCATAACCAATATCAGAACTAAGATATGAAAATGGTAATCTGAAAAGTAATATTCAAGATATTGTGCTTTGAGAGATGGAGATATTCTTTATCCTAAAGGCAAGACGACCAGTTAATAAAGCTGTGCAGTGCTTTGGTCTAAAGGTTAAAAGGTGCTTAAGAATGAATTGCAAAATTCTTCTGCAAATTTTCATCATGTCTGTTTTGCCTTCAAATCTGAAGTACTGTTTATTGATTACGTCTATATTTTAGCCATTACAAAAATAATGGATTACAATAAAGGTATATCATCCTATTTCATACAGTGGCTAGGGGCTCACCAGTTACTTTCCAGTAACTGGTATAACAATCTGTGTTTTTACATTTTTATATCATTCCTCCCTGAGATTTGGAATAGATAAATGGATGAATGTCATTCAGTACTGCTTGGCCCAGACCAACAGTATCACACTTTCGGGTCATTGTTCAGAGAGAAGTCTTTTTTGATACCTACATTCTAGCATTTTTCAAAATATCTAAAAGCTGCATAGAGATAGACTGAATATTAAGCACATCCTGCTAAAGGACTATATTCTAAGATACTTGTCTCAAAGAAAGTTTCAAACTCCACCAAGACATTACCGGAACATCTCTCAAAATAAAGAAATAAAAACATAATTCCAGTTTTAAGAAAAAGTAAAATGCCATAGGATCACATAAGAGTATACTGTAAGGAGCAAGGACTGCAGAAAATACTGAAGGAAGAAAAAAGGGAGAGTAATATCCTTTATGTCTACAATAAAGGATAAATTGAAATAAAAGGATTCTTTGTAGGCTATCCAAATTGTGCATGAATACAGGTATCCCTGTTCTGCATAGTTTATTAAAGACAATCACAAGAATTTTTGGTAACTATTCGACTGCTTATTTTTTTAAATTGGTCTTTTTTAAAAAAAAAAACATTCTTCTAAAGGAAAAGCCAATATATTTTTAATAAAATACAAACAATCCATGTAAAGCCTTTCTTACACACTTCTGAATGGATAATAAAGAGGTTTAATAGTTATCATAGATAAATAGTTGTGTGCAAACATTTAGGCATCTCTAAGAGAGCCAGCACTAGACTAGAAACTGGGAGAACAACCATGAAACAAGCTAGATGACCTTGGGTCACTCACTCACTATCAGCCCCAGGAGGAAGGAAATCAGGATGAACTGAGACTGACTTGAAGGCATGCCCCCTCTCAAAAAGGCAAAATTGAACATTTCAATGAATCCTTAAGTGAACAGATATATTGTACAGCAATATATTGATATATTGTACAGTACTAAACACAAGTGTCTTTCTGAAAATGTGAATGCATTCATATTCATGTAAATTTACTTAAGGTCCAAACTAAAAACATAGAATATATCAGGCACAGAAATTTGGAACCCTTCAACAGCTGATTCAGTATTCTTTAAAAAAAAGTTTGAATTGTTAATAAGGCCAAAATAAGTGATCAGAACTGTAATTAGCAAGGTCAATACAACTCCACAGATGAACAAATAATTTGACTCTTCTGTCCTCCCAAGTACTAATTATTGTTCTAATTACAACAACCATAGGCTCCTTTGGCAGCTGCGTAAGCATACGAAAATGCAGGCAATTCACATTAACAAAACAGAGGATATGTTTCATGTAGATAGTCCTCAACGTACGACCACAATTGGACCTGGAATCTTGGTCATTGAGCGAGATGCTACATGACCACTTTACTCAACAACTACAATCCTGGCCTTCCCAGTTGTGGTTATTAAGCAACCATGTGGGTCATTAAGTGGAACACTGGGGAGAGGGCACAGTGGTATCCTCTCCCCATCCCACTGGGAAAAATAATCGCAAGAATGCTGGGAAACGATCACAAGAATCGGTGTTTTTACCCGATTTGAGGTCCATTCTTCCAGAGTGTGGGAGGATTCCCCCCCCCCCGCATATGGAAGGAAGAGGAAATCCCTCCGTGCCCTGGGGGAATGGATCTTAAATCCAATATCCTCTCTGCTTGCAAACTTCCCTGCCAGCTTCCCTACTGACTTCCTGGGGAAGCTAGCAAAGAAGATTTCAAATGGCGATCACATGATCATAGACCAACCAGTCATAAATGTAAACAGATTTACCAAGAGCCTAAAAAGAAGCCATATGATGGGACAGTGCAATATTTTATAATGGCTGTAAAGCACCCACTCCAAAGCTATCATGACACTGCTACTGTTATTCAATGGGTAGTCGTAAGCTGAGGATTACCTGTACTAGCATTTTCAGCTATGAGGAATGTTGTTAAGAAATAGAAGTTAATGAAACGGTTGAAATAAAGGTAAGTTATGGAAACCCCAGACAAATAACACACTAGAACTGCCAAAAAGCTGGTCAAATCTGCAAAACAAAACCCAGAGATCATTGCAAATGGACTTCTGAAAAGTTTAGCTGATAGTAGAGTAATTGTTCACAGGTCCACAAGTTCAGCACTGCTTTTGTAACAATAATCTGCAAGGGAAAGCTGGCAGAAAGTAACCTTTCTTCTGATCTCACCATCATCGCCTAATCTATGCACGCATGTATGCGCCCGCAAATAAACACACATCCACAAACACACTGAAATATTCTGAAATAAAAATTGAACCGTTCAGCCATAACCGCACAATATACATTTGTGGAAAAATGATAAAGCATATGAAGAACATGCTAGCTATTTCAAAAGACAGCAGTTTAAAATACACCTTCAAATTAATCAAGAACACTTATGGGAAACAAAGGTAAAGATTTTAGAGTAGACTTCACAGTTTAAACTTTGGTATCTCTACATGAAGACCTCAAATATATAAATATGTAAAGTAATTTAAAAACATTTCCAAGCAAGAAGGATTCTGCAAGGAAGAATGGAAGAAAAATTCCAAAAGCAAGAAAACAACTCCCTGCAATTTGTGATACTTTCCTAATATTCATTTGATGATTAACTGTTAAAAGCTCAATTCACATCACGTGAATTTCTAATGAAAACAATTATTTTAACTTTGATGACTGCTTTAAGCACGTTCCTGTTTTGTATTCCATTCACCAATATATTTGAACAGTAGCAAATCTAAATCAAATCATTTTGACAGCACAGAGTACAGTAGGTTTGTGTAATTTTTCTGTTAATATTAAAGATGAAGATTACACATATGTAATACAACATACTTATTGTGAAACACTGGAGCATTTTTAAAAAGGGATTTAATTTAATTTAATTTAATAATTTAATTTATATACCGCCCTTCTCCCGTAGGACTCAGGGCGGTGCACAGCATATTAAA